CTTCGCCAAAGGATTAATGCCCACAAAACAGATATCAGACAAGATCACAAAGAAAAAACAGTTTCTTGCCATTTCAACCAGAAAGGACACTCTCTCAATGACTTAACCACCTGCATTCTGCTACAAAGACCTTTTACATCTGCACTTGAAAGGGAATCCTCTGAACTGTCATTCATGTTAAAATTCGACACTCTCCAAAAAGGAATGAACAAACACTCAGGCTATCTTACCCATTACCAAGATAGCTTCCCCAATTATCACCGCTAATACCATTAACTCACAAACATCCCACTCTCCCCACCTCTAATATCATCAATTCACAGACACTTACCTTCCTTCCTTCTCCCCCTCCCCCCTGCATTCCCCTCCTGTTCTGAAATGTGATTTGTCCTTTTCGTATGTGTTCATTTTTTTTAATTGTATCCTTTGGTATATATGGTTGTGACCATTTTCTTCCACTATTTGATCTGAGGAAGTGGGTCTGGCCCACGAAAGCTCATCATCTAATAAACCATCTTGTTAGTCTTTAAAGTGCTACATTGTCCTGCATTTTGCTTAAGCTACTATCTGTTAGCTACTCCCTTCATAGGAATGGCTTAGCTAGAGTGCTGAGAGCTCTCTCCCACCACTCCTGCCAGGGCCACACAGCCAAGGCTGCGCTTCAAACTTTCTAGTTTGGACAAAGCCTTTATCTCACAGTGCCCCAGCCTCCCAGCAAATGGAAAGGGGAGCTTTTCCTGTCCCCTTGATGCTTCCTGACCTTTTATAGGAGTCTAGAGGATGAGTTCTTTAGGCCTCCCGCCAAGCTGACAGCACTGCCTGGCCCTGGACAGGCATCTGGTGATGAGCCACACATCTATAAAACTATGGTAGGCTCCATTGCTACCTGGAGAGTGACGTGAGGAGTCTCCTCAAACCTCTGCAGTCTTATCAGGGATCTGAGACTTTATTGTGGAGATGAGTTTTTTTAGCATGCTATAGAGTTTTGTTATCTTGCTTGTAAGCACATTGTTACTGTTACAGTATCAACGGTAATTTGGGTCTTGGTGCTGTTGCCAGGGATTTGGATTTGTGCACTGTATGCCACTGGCCAAATACTCAACCTATCTTATTCCCCAGCACACCTAGCATGCCCACATGCCTTCCCATCCTTCTGCACTCTAGGGCTACATCTATACTGCAGCCTTCTTCTGCAAAAGCTTGTGTAAATGAAGCGCGGAGTAGAATATCGCTGTGCTTCATTTGCATAATTAATTAGCAGCCGTTTTTGTGCAAGAGGCTTTTGTGCAAAAAGGAGCTATGTTTTTTGCATAAAAACCCCCTCTTGTGCAAGAGCAGATCTTCCTGAAAAATAGATGTGCATAAACTTTATTTGCATAAAATTTTGCAGAAGAAGGCTGCAGTATAGATGTAGTTTAGTAGTGTAGCCACCGCAGAGCAGTGTGCCCATTCACACATCATCCCCTTTTGCATAGTTAGATACACAGTCTGGGCCTCAGCAAATAGATTTATTCCTGAGAGATGAAGATGCTAACTGGACCCTTTTTTTCATTTATGAGACCTTTGAACAAAAGAAATGGATAATATTGTTTAAGGGTTTTGCAGCATGGTAGAATGATATTAAGTTTTTGAGGAAAGTAAGTGTTAATCACCAATTCCCAACAAGTTTGAGGATCAGTATCTTTTTGGTAATGAACTGTAAAATTTTCTGACATCTTTTTATAATTAATTTGCTAACTTTTATTGGTGACAGTATAGTAGACATTTTTCACTGTATTAATCTCTGGGATAACTCAGTAGTATTTCATATACTTTGCTTCCTTCTTTCTAAACAGTTTGTAATCAGTGACAATCTCAACTTTTGGTTACTTTGTTTCTTTTATAACTCTGGTGTGAGATTTGATCCCATATATTCTATCAGCTTGATCCATTACTTTTTGTTAATTCTTGAAAAAAAATTATAAAACATTAGTCACAATTTACTCTCATGGAAGCTGTGCTAATTTATCTTTGTCACATTATTCTCATTTTAGTGCTCTGTAATTTAGTCTTTAATTACTTCTTAACTATTATTCTCAGCAATGAGACCAAATAATTGGTCTTTATTTCTTTGGATCTTCTTTAGCATGAGTTTGGTGTTGGCACCCTTCCTATTTCCTAATAAAATAGAAAAATAAAATATCTGTCTAATCTAGCTAAGGTATTTCTATAGCGCACATCATTGTAACATCTAAGCATGGTGTAATAATAAGTTTATAATGATAGATTTATATTTTCATTAACAGGACATCCCTTCTATTCTCAATTTCTAGTATTCTTGGATAAATACCATCCAGCTCTGATGCTTACTGTCTCTTAATATCCCAAGTGGGTCCATCACTTTTTGGATGCTCAAACAACGTCTCACCTTTGTTAACAGTAAAGAGTAATCCCAATGCGTAGTAGATAGTATCCCTTAAGCCTTTGTGACAAAGATGGACACAAAGAATCCACAAAGGGGAATGGGAGAACATGCACATGCTACTAGAAGCCTAGGTTCCAATCTGAATTTGATCAGAAATAGAAGTAAGTTTGGTAATTCTATATTTAACCCCATTTGACATTTATATATATATCACAAAGCAACACCAGTTTGGCAACATTTTTGTTCTCTGATTGGAAAGAGACTAAGACTATGCCTCACCACAGGTTGGACCTCCCTTGTCCAGCACCCTCGGGACCTGACCTGTCCTGAATGAGAGAATTTGCTGGATATGGGGAGGTCACCTGCCACTGGCCTCTCAGGATGCTCCCTCTCCCTGTAGTTGGCTCCACTCTGGTCCCACTGCCACTGGGCTCCAGCTTTCAGGGCTTGGACTTGGGCTCTGGCCTGCTGGGGCTCTGCAGGATGAAGCTCCCCAGCCGCTGAGACCTTGCTTCTCCCACACCCAACCGGGGATCCCTAGGGATGGAGCTTGCAGGCTGCCCCACTTTTGCCTCTCCCCTGTCCTGCTGCTGCTCCACCCAGCCAAGGCTTCCTGAGGACAGAGCTCCACGGCCTCGCTTCTCCCCCATCCGACTGGAGATCCCCAGGGACAGGGTTCACACTCCCGGGTGCTGGGGATCTCTGATCCAAAAGCATCCATGGTCCTGACAGACCACGGATATTGCCGGACCAGAAAATCCCAGATTTTGGAGGTTCAACCTGTACAAACTCAGTGCAATTTCCCTCACTTATTTACACATACTTGCAGTAGTTCAATGAGAGCTGGAACAAATATGAATAGTAGTGTAGCCTTGGTAGCATAGGCAGCAGCAGTGAGAGCACAGCTGATCCAGATGGGCTTATATTTGTCCTGGCCTCTATTGCCACTGTAGGTGCCACTGTGGCTGCACTACAGTTTATACTCACACTAACTCTCATAAAGCTACTGCTAGTATGTTCGCATGAGCAAGGGAATCCATCTCTAACTGGTAGCATATAGACAGTTTGAAGAGCTCACAAATGAAGGCCTTGACTCTGCAAAGGCTTATGCTTGTGTTTAACTGTAAGCATATTACTGGGACTAGTGACATGCTTAAAGTAAAGCACATGCATAAGTCTTTGAAGGGTTAGGGCCTAAGAAGACAGCTGTGTCAGGACAGAAGGGTAGAATTAGCTATATAAAATTTTCTGTAGTGTAATTATTGTGAAGTTCCAACTATCTCCTTTGCCCCATTGATTTCAATAATATTTTTCTAGAAAATCATATAAGAAAAATAGATACACTGAATTATTATTTTCTCTGTGACCCCAACATAGCATGACATACTTGTATAATGTGCTTGAACAAAAATATGTGCATTACATTAGGAAATTCACAGTGGAGTGCATATGTTTTGATTACTTTTGAATTGCTTTATTCTGATTTAGCTACTGCTACAGGCAGAAAGGTTACCATTTCTAGGGCTCTCTTTGGTCTAGCCTAAAGCATTCCTTTTTGGAGTTGAGAAAAAAGGAATGGGAAAGTCTGATTCTTTTGTTTACTTTAAGCAAAAATGATGTTCCTCAAGTTCAGTATTTAGGATCTATAATGCAAAAAGACACCAGATCAGTTCACAGACTCAAAAACTGGAATGTTTTCAAGAAAGTTAGTTAATGTCTCTCTTCTGTCTGATGATTTACCCAGTTACGAAGACTTACAATGCACATTTTAAAATATTACCTTACAAAATGGAATAGTGATGCGATAAGTGAAATTATTCCATTCAACTAAACACATTCTTATCATTCTAATGCGTATTTGCACAATACTAACGCAAAGGCGACCCCAGACTAATTCCAGCTATGTATTTGTCAATATTCAGTTGAGGCAGATGGACCTTGGCATGAGCTGGCACCTGGTCTGCTAGCATCACAATTATTATGAAGGGTATTATAAAATATTTGGCAAGTTTTAGCCTATTGCTAGCTGTTGTTTCATTTATGGAGAGATGCTGTGCCATTATATTGTGCACTGCCCTGTCACTCCTCCCTCTTGCTGCAAATGGCAGACAATGGGGTGGGGAGCAGCAGCTTACAGAGGTTGAAAGCAGTATTTTTTTAAGGAAAAAAATTACTGCAAAAATTACATATTTGTAGCCATATCTCAGACAAAATGTAATTTGTTGCTATAACACGGTCCTTAAAGGCACTTCTATCCAGTACCTCTGTGTGATACCCAAATGTCCCAGGTGATCCTAGCTGAGGTCACTCAATGAAGGTGCACTGCAAGAAATTGGATGGCCAATCCCCAAAGCTGGTGGTTATTCCAGTATTTATATTTATTAAGCCAGCACAAAACAGCATTTGTATTCCTTTATTGATCAATCAGAAGTCCAAACCACACAGTGCCCTTAAAATACCAACTCTTAGGCTTCCACCCAGACATTTCAGTCAGATAAAGTTCTACCAGTCCCAAATGATCAGACACATCACCTTTCAGGCCAATAAATATTTCAGACCTTATCCCAAATACACACGGATAGCCAATTCTTATTAGACTAAACTTTATTAGGAGAGGAAAGGAAATATTGGACATGGAGTTGATTCTTGGGGTTCAGTTACATAACAGAGATGATGATCTTGTAGTTACAAAAAGTTCTTTTAGAATTTAGTCCATGGTTACAATCCAAAATCCATACCCAGAGTGATGCCAGCCAATGACTAGAACCGCAATCCTTGTGGCTTAGATTTCCCCTGTATTAAATCTCAAGCAGATCTGAGATTGTAAGTCAATGTGCATTAAAGGGGCACCAGGATTTCCTGCGATCTCATTTCTTATGTCGTTCGGCTTTGCTCATGAGCATCTAACCGGATATGAGACAAAAAGGATCCTGTCCAGAGGGACTTTATTGCTTTGCAGCAGCAGCCTCTTGGCCTGGGAGAGCACAATGGATTTTTCAGGTAACTTTTTGTTTCCCAAATATCACGGCAATTAGCATAAAGTAATTAATCCATTAAACAGTACAAATACCATTTACCGCAACCTTCAAAGAGACATATGAACAATATACTGCTTTAATCAAGTTTAATAATACATGTTAATATTACCTTCTGATCTGAATCAGAACCGTAGTAACAGACCAGAACTGTTTGTTCACAAGTCCTGGGCAAACACCTGTCATTCTACTGCTCTAACAATACAAGCTTGCACTTCAAAGTTCTACTCTAACAGCCCATTGATCATTAACACATCTTCCCAATAAGTCTTTAAAGGTTGACCCTGGGTCAGTCAGACTATGAGACTGTTAACCCTTTCTTGTCATGTGCCACATTTCAATCAGATAACACCACAACCTGCATGCTAAATCACCCTCTCATTTGTCCAGAATCTGACTTAATTGCTGATCTGCCTTGGTCCACTTCTGGAGAGTAATAAACTAGAATTTTTCACCTTATGCAAATTCCAGGCAGTCTGTGAGATTCCTGTGAGAGTCTGCCACTGTTTTAACTTACAATCCCTATCCAGATACTTATCAATTAGTCTGTCACAACACAGAAAGATTTCCCTTGCTTACATAGAAGATCTCCCTCAGGTATGAAATAATGTATCCTTCTATTCTGGTATTTGAAGCAGCAAGACAGCTTGTAAGGTGTTTATAAGCAGCTTGAAGAGGGTTTAGTATAATCACCATTTTTTATCTGTCTCCTAGGACCTGCCCCCATCCATTTTCTCAAAAAAAATGGGGGGAAAGTCAGAAGATAAATTAACTGATTATTAAGGCTACAATTTTCTTTTGGAGGGTGTGGAAGTCATGGAATTCATGGGAACTGCAGGATTCCCCATCGCCTGGGAGCTGGGAGCTGCAGGGTTTCCCATTGCCTGTGGTGGCTGGGAGCTGTGATGTACCTGAATCTCCAAGCCAGTGTGTGTGGTGGGGGTACTTTGAAGCTCCCACTTGCCCTTGGCAGCTGGGAGCTGGCAAACCACTATCCCAAAGGCTGCCTTTGATCTTTTTGCTTCAGGGGGTAGCCAAGTTAGTCTGTACAGAAAAAAACAACCGGTGGTCATCTGAAGAAGTGGGCTGTGCCCACGAAAGCTCATGATACCATCTACATGTTTTGTTAGTCCTTAAAGTGCTACCAGACCATTTGTTGTTTTTTCTTGGTCTTTTTTAATGCTCCCTTACCCAAGAGAACTACTCATTATGCAAAAGACCTACTTACATGATAATGTCAATCTGGGAAAGGCGTTACCTGGAATCTTTAGCAATGCAAAAGGATACAGTGCTGAAGTGACAGTTTGTTTATTCAGCCTCACCTAAAAGGCTCAGAATTACCCTGTAGAAAACTTGATGCTAAATTAACTAATTTGAAATGGCCATTGTCATTATATGCTTGTCTACACTAGGCAGTTGGACTGCTCTAACTGTCCCAGTAGCTTGCCACCTTTCTCTGCTACTGTTCCCCTTTCAGGAGTCTGATCACACCCCCAAATTTCACCTAACTTAAAATGTCTTGCTTATAAAATCAAACAAACAAAAATGTGTCCAAGCATGTCTACACTAGGATATTATTTCAAAAAACTTACTTTGAAATAAAAACTCCTGAAGTAATAGTTTTGAAATAGCATGTCCACGCTACAGGGAATTAGTCCGAGGCAGGCTCTTCCATTAATATGAATGCGCTACCTCGCGTTAGAGCCCTAAGAAGCAATGGGAAGTAGTTAGTTTGAATTACTCTGGGGAGTAGTTAGTTTGAAATAGGTCTCAAAAATCATGAATGGTGTGGAAAATCGAATAAGGAAGTGCTATTCATTCCTTCACTAACATAACATAAGAAGCTGACCCAATTGGCAGCAGATTTAAAACAAACAAATTAAATTATTTTTTTCACAGTCAACTTGTGGAACTCTTTGCCAGATGGCGGAAAGGCCAAAACCATAACAAGGTTCCAAAAGAACAAAATGAGTTAACAGAGGATAGATCCATCAGTGTCCACTAGCCCAGGATGGTGACCTTAGCTTCTGTTTTCCAGAAGCTGGAAATAGGCAACAGGGTGGATCATGGTGATTGCCTCTTCTGTTTATTCCTTCTGAAGCACCTGGCATTAACCACTGTTGGATGACAGGATACTAGGCTTGAAGGACCATTGGTCTGACCCAGTATGGCTGTTCTATGTTCTTATATAGAGCTGAAATATATTTGTCCCCTGCTGTAACCCACTAGACCCCCCCCCCAGAGCAAAAATACAGCCCAGGAGTCCTGACAGGGTTTCTTTCTCTCCACAGAGTTAGTAACAAAGTAAGAATATATATTAACATTTTAAGGCTAACCAGTGTCTCTTAAGTGACTTGCCACAAAATGTCAGCTATGTTAGTGTTAAAGTTGGGTGGGTCTAATATTTATTTAATTTTCTTTCTTTTAGATAGGAATTAGATTCAGTGCTCCTGTCAGCTAACTGCTAAGTTGTCTGCCAAAAAAAGGTAGAGTTTTCCAAGTGCCTTAGTAGCCCTTGGATAGAGGTGATGTGCATGTGCGGAGGAAGAGGGTGGATGCGGTTGGTTTCCCTCCCCTCATTTGATGCTTGGCTTGTGCTGAGCATGCTCAGTGACACTAGTGAGGGCCTCTGTCCTCAGTCCCCCTCCGCTCTCACTCTTCCCCTGCCCCATCACAACATGCACAGATTGACCCACCCCAACCAAAATCTGAAATGGCACCCCTGAAGCCAGAATCAAGAGGAGCTGCCCTAGCCTGGGACAGGAGAGCTGAGCTGAAGGGATACTGATGAGTGTCCAGGTAGGTTCTGAATCCTAGGGCTGAGGGGCTGGAGATGAGTTATTGATGGACTACGCAGTGAGTGGGGATGTTGTGGGGTCAATGGTTCGGGGTGAATGGAGGATGTTGAGGGAAATGGAGTGAGTTGAGGGGGCAAGGAAGGATGTCAGGGACAATGGGATGAGTTGTGGAGGGCTGTGTGGGAAATGAGGGATGCTGGGGATACTGGAGTTGGGATGTTAGGAGCTGTGGATGATGGGGTTGAGATGAGTGGCAAGTGTATCAGAGCTGCTGGTCTGTGGGTGGGGCTGTCAGGATTAGTGGGGTTTGATAGAGGGTGTTGGTATTTGGAGATATGGGGATGGAGTGGGGTGGTAGAAGCTTTCAGAGATCTGTGGGGGGCAATATATGGGTTGGGACACTTCGGAGTCTGTGTGTGGGATGGGAAGAGAGGGGCATTGTTTTGAGAAATGCTTTGCTATCTAGTTTCTGGAAGGTGGAGGTCTTTCATCTGACCCTAGGAACCTCTCTCATCCCAGGCATCCTTCCTTGGGTGTAGATATCACTGTAGTGTGAGTTGGGAGTCCAGGGTGTGTTTCTCCAGCAGGAAGTTCCCCCACACACATTCTGAGCATAACAGCAATCCAGTACAAAACAAAAATAATCCTGCTGGGCTCATCACATCGCAAGGCAAAAAGATACATCTCTGTGAAGGGGATCTGGGTTCCTAGATTCTATGGATGTCTGATGAGCCCAGACTGCACACCTTGGGCTCTAAATAGGAAAACAGAGTAAAAAAGGTCCTACTATCCTCCCCACATGACTCAGGCTCTTCTGCAGCTTTCCTGGTAAGCAGCCCCAGCTCTGTAGGGCTAGGGAGCTAGAGTTCTCAGTCTGCTTTCCTCTGAGTGCCACTCTAGAGTGAGTGTGTTGTGAACCTCCCTTTTAAGGCAACAGTCCCCTCCAGTTCTGCCAGACCTCACAAGTAAATCTGGCTGGAGGCTGATAGTGCCCTGAGGTTCTCTTTAATCTGACTGTACTGGGACCCTCTCCCACTACCATCTGCTTTATATCAATATAGATATTACCATCCAGGCTAGACTGTAGGCTTCTTTCAGAAGAAGCTTTTCCGTAAGAGATCTTCTGAAAAACCTTCTTCCGAAAGAGAGCGTCCACACTGTCCACACTGAATGTAAGCTGTGATTACTATGGGCAGAGTGGCCACCAGGGTACCTGTGCTTTTTCCTCTTCTTGTGAAAGAACTCCCTCCTTTGGAAAGAGGCCTTTTGGGAAAAGGCATCTTCCTCGTAGAAAGAGGTTTACCAATGTCGGAAAAACCCCTCTGTTCTTTCAATTTTTTTTCAAAAGAACGTGATTGCAGTGTGGACGTAATTGAAGTTTTTTCGGAAAAACACCATTTTTCCGACAAAATTTTGTAGTGTAGACATACCCTCAGAAAGGGGAATCACTATACTGATCTAAATCATTTGTATACCAGTGTAACTGTACCACATCAAAGCTTTTATCAGTATAAAGTATATGGTTAAAAAATCATACCCCTGATCAGAATAATTATGCCTGTAAAACTTTGACATTGTAGAACAGGCATGGGTATTGATTAAATGAATTATTCCCCATAAGTTTGTATGACAGTGACAACTGAAAGAAAGGAACTATACGTTTACTTTCTTCTATGACCAACTTAAAAAAAAAAGGGATTTTGTAATTCAACTCAGAAGTGGATGGTAAATTGTTACACTTTTACATTAAAGAAGAAGAATTGTAGTATGCTCTCTGGACGGACACACTAGAGAAGCCATAGAAGCGTGTCATATTTGCAGCTCTGATAGGGAGAGACAGAGAAGATGCAGCTTCGGGCTATGGGAAAGCTAAGACTTTTCAACTGTGTGACATACTTTGTAAAATTGTATGAATAATGTAAGTGAAAAGATAGTTTGAAGGGATATTCATTCTGACATTCCTACTTCAGCTGTTGAATAGATAGCTTTTTAAAATTGCTGGGTATTCTACATAAATTGTTGATAAATACTGTTTGGTTTATAATCTAAATAGCATAAGGTTGTTTAATACATATCCAGAAATTATAGGCTAGTGGTCACAAATGAATGTCTTTCCTCTCAAAGAAATTAAAGAAGGGGATATTTCATGGTGTAGGTCTGAGGAAAGGCCATGGGAAAAGATGAATTCTTTCTTCCAGAGCCACATAAATCATTATAGACATAGGCCATGTGTCTATACTGCCATAAAACCCCCATACCTGGCCCCTGTCACCTGACTCAGGCTCGTGGGCATGGGCTGCAGCGCTATAAAATCACAATGTAGAGCTGGGACACTGAGACCTTCCCCCTTCACAAGGTCCCACAGCTCTAGCCTGAGCCTAAATATGTACACTGCGATTTTATAGTCCTGACCTGACCCTCCCAGGCCCAAGTCAGCCGTTACAGGTCTCAGAGAGCAACTGCCCCAAATGACTGAACACCCAGATCCTCAAAGGTCCATTGAGGAAGTTAGGAATCTAAATATCTGTTAGGATCTGGGGTAAATATAAAGCACTCCTGTCATGGCTCCTTCCCCACTCTGGCATGATAAATGCAGAAGTGGGGGCCAGCAAAAGTACCCCAAAACCTTATCTACCAGGCTTTGGTATAAAACTTCCTCCCAACATCTTAACAACCTAGATTTTGAGGATAAAAAACTCCGTTGCCGCCACCCAAGTATTGATAAGAAATTCAGGGGAGAGATCACTTGGGAAATCTCACCCCTAAAGTACAAACCAGGACACAACCATTAACCAATACCAGATTAATAAAAAGGAAAGAGAAAGAACTTTTATTATCACCACAATATTCCTGTTGCAAGCATAATGACTAGATGGAAAAGTAATACTCATGGAGAAACTCCACCACAGGCCTAGAACTTAGTTACAAAGGGAAGCCAAAACATTTTTTACTAGTACACAGACATCAGATCCCATTTCCCAAACCATAAAACTTTACCCTACTTACAGAAGAGTGAAGAATTGTTTCTTGGAGAGAGACATGTCTGTCTCCTTCAGTAGCTGGAGGGAACTGCCCAGGGAAAAGGAGAGGGAAAAAACAAAAATTCTTTGTCCCAGTTTGAAATTCCTACCTATATTCCTATTGGCCAACTCTACCTGAGTTAGGTATAGTTAACCCCTTAGTCCCCAGGCTGCTGGCCAACTCTCATGATCATAAAAACTCCCATATTCACGTTCATTATTTATAGTTGAGAGGGTTTAGAATAGGCGTAATTTAGGATATGTCTACATGACAAATAGACATTTGCCATGAGTGGGGCCAGAAATGAGTGGTTCAAGGTGCGAAAGGGGTCTCTTGACTGAGTCAAGGGGTTAGGGTGCAGGAGGGGGCAAGGGCTCTGGCTGGGGTTTCAGGATTGGGAGGGCTGAGTATAGGGTGTTTGGGGTGCAGGAGAGGACTCAGGGCTGGGGCAGGAAGTTAGGGTGAAGGCGGGATTCTGAAACAGCAATGACACAGCTTTTCTGCCCCAGCCATATGACCCCAAGTCAGCTGGTATGGGCCAGCTATGGGTTTTTCTTTGCTGTGCAGACACACATACTTTTTACATTTTAAGAGATGGATTCTTGGTGAGTTCATCTTTTAAAACAGGACAATAATACACTTGAGACTGCAAATGGGTTAAAATGAGGAAGAGAAGAGAGAGAGTTAGGTTATCTATATATATTTTAGAGATGAACTTAAAAAACAACAAATGGTCTGGTAGCACATTATAGACTAACCAAACATGTAGATGGCATCATGAGCTTTCACGGGCACAGCCCACTTCTTCAGATGACCGGAGTTTTTAGAGAGTTTGTCTGTCCATGAGTCCATCCATCCATCTGTGAGCCCATCTGTTCAAGAACTCCTCCTAAGTAGTAAAACTAAAACCACCAAATTGAGTATGCAGCTTCCTCTTATCCTAACTTACAGCAAAGTCAGGGTTTGTTTGTGCCAGGACAATGAGATGTGCCTGGAATCAAATTGTTTTCCATACTATGGAAAGGGAGGATTCTGATAGGAGGGACAGTTATTCTCTGCAATGGCCACAGGATAGCAGTGAGCACAGGGGACAGTTATACTGCAGAGTGATCACGGGGGCAGCTGCACCAGGAGAGAGTGGCCAGCTCTTCATGTTTGTCACCGGCTGAAGGCCAGTAGCACAAACCCACTCCCCTCCCCAGGAGGAGCCACTGGCCAAGGCCAGGCAGCGCAACCCTGTCCCCTTCTGGGAGGAACCAGCAGTGGAGTTGGGCAGCATAGTCCTGCCCCTCCTCGGGAGAAGCCAGCAGCTGGGCCAGACAGCACAGCCTCGAGTGCTCCAGCACATGCTGTCAATGAAGCAGTGCCAATCTTGCTGCCGTGTGCAGCCCCAGTGAGTCCCTCAGACCTCTCAGCCTCCTGGTCTGAGCCCCCTGCCTGGAGCTCCCCTCCCCGCTCCTAGTCCCCTGCCTTTATTCCTGCATCCCCACCCCGGCCCTGAGGCCCCTCCACCTCCTAGTCCCCTGCCCTGACTCCTGCACTCCAACCCCCCATCCCATATAATCATTTAACCCACAAAAGCTCATGATACCATTTACATGTTTTGTTAGTCCTTAAAGTGCTGCTAGACTATTTGTTGTTTAAGTTTTTCTAAATACAGCAGGTACATTTTCCTTTTAATTAAAAAAAAAAGCAAACGTGACTACCATTAAGAACCCGAGCAACAAAGAGTACATCTGGCAGGACTTCATAACAGAGAATATATCCATATATATTTATTTGTGCAACTACTACCCAAGAAACATAACAAATTAACAACGCTGGAGATTGAAAGCTTTAAACCTCTCTGTAAAAGATATGCCACAGTCAGCCACACGTTTCTCCCACACTCACTAATCTAAGTGACTCAAACTAGTGTTGGAGGTACCATTCTTGTGGGGAAGAACATAATTCTGTCTTCATGCTCATTCATTCCTTAGTCTCTCTGCTACAGTACACTACTGCTATAAATTGAATTACTTTTGTGTACTTAAACCAGGGATGTCCCCTTGTTTTTAATACCAATATTTTAGTTAAACAACTGTTACTAATTAAATACATCTTATCTGAGTGTGACATGTTTCTAGCAGAGACACAAGGTGGGTGAAATAATATATTTTATTGGACCAAATTCTGTTGGGGAGAGACTCAAGCTTTTGAGTCACACAGAGAATCAATCATAGAATCATAGTTGGAAGAGACCTCAGGAGGTTATTGAGTCCAACCCCCTCTCTAAAGCAGGACCCACCCCAACTAAATCAACCCAGCTAGGGCTTTGTCAAACCGAGACTTAAAAACCTCTAGGGATGGGGATTCCACCACCTCCCTAGATAACCCATTCCAGTGCTTCACCACCCTCCCAGTGAAATAGTTTTTCCTAATATCCAACCTAGGCCTCCCCCATTGCAATTTGAGACCATTGCTCCTCATTCTGTCATCTGTTACTACTGAGAACAGCCTCTCTCCATCCTCTTTGAACCCCCCTTCACGTAATTAAAAGTTGCTATCAAACTCCCCCTCCCTTCTCTTCTGTAGACTAAACAAGCCCAAATCCCTCAGCCTCTCCTTATAAGTCATGTGCTCCAGACTCCTAATTATTTTTGGTTGCCCATCACTGGACTCTCTCCAATGCGTTCACATCCTTTCTATAATGAAGGGCCCAGAATTAGACTCAGTACTACAGATGTAGTCTCACCAGTGCTGAATAAACAGGAGTAATCACTTCTGTAGTTCTGCTGGCAATATTCCTCCTAATGCACCCTAATATGCCATTAGCCTTTTTGGCTACAAGGGCACACGGCTTACTTCTATCCAGCTTCTCATTCACTGTTATCCCCAGGTTCTTTTCTGCCAAACTGCTGCTTAGCCAGCCAGTCCCCAGCCTGTAACTCTGCTTGGGATTCTTCCATCCCAAGTGCAGGACTCTATACTTGTCATTGTTGAACCTCATCAGATTTCTTTTGGCCCACTCCTCTAATCTGTCTAGGTCACTCTTGACCCTGTCTCTGCCCTCCAACATATCTACCTCTCCTCCTAGCTTAGTGTCATCTGCAAACTTGCTGAGAGTACAATCCATCTCCTCATCCAGGTCATTAATAAGAGCTCTTCTTCAGGTCTGGGAAAGGCACTCCCAGCATCACAACAAAATAGAAGGTGAAACAGATTGTTTATCATAAGTAGTTAGAAAAAATGGTAAGGGACCAGTCAAGGTAGCAGTTATCATCCTGATTAGGGACGTAAAATCCTGTTTAATTAGTAATTGGTTAAACATTAAGTTTAAAAGGGGGTAAATGGGAGGGGGCACTCCAAACCAGATGGGCTGGAGTGGCCTCATCACCTGCCATGGCCAGGTTGGAGCAGAACCTCTTCCTCCCCCCGCCCACTGAGGGCAGGGGTTGCTCTGGCTGGGCTGGAGTGCTCCCTGCCCATGGCACATACGGTCTGGGCCCACTGTGGACAGGGGCTGCTCTGGCTGGACTAGAACACCCCTGCCCATGGCGCACCTGGACAGGGCCGCCATGCCTGCCTTGGACCCCACAAGGCTGGAGCTGTCCCCTGCCCGCAGCAGGCAAGAGGCTGCTCCAGGCCCCATCAGTTAACCATTCACATCCATAATCCTGATACTGATTTGACTTAATAATTGAACATATTCTTATCAGTAAATGAGGTATAACATCAGTATACAGTTCTACTATCAACTGTGCAGGCAACTGTTGGGAAAAACAACCAGAAGGGGTAAAATTCTGCTCTCAGTTGCACTGCTCAGAATATAGAAGATTAAACCGAATGGCTGTGAAATCTCATAAAGGCTAAATTGGCATCATTCCCTGTCAGTAATAATGTTATGAAGATATCTGTACAAGTAATCTGAAATTATTTAATGGTAAACTCGTTCTTTGATTGGAAATCAGGCTACTGAGCATAGGCAGAGTAGTTTAACCAGCTGAAGAGAAAATACTTTCTTTGATCTGAGTAGAAAGACTGTCTTTGATCAATCAGGTAGACACTGGTTGGTGAAAGATAAAGTGTTTGATTGAAGTCAGTGGCTGTAGGATAAGGCCAAAGAACCTTAGCCTCTACCTGGTTCCTTTTAAGTTGTCCAATTCAAATTAAGTGGATATCCAGTGTGATCTTAAACTGCCTTAATGTCAAAAACAGACATTAGGACTTTTGCTTCAATAAAGAGATTATGTGATAACAAAATTGGTGCCTGAGAACAAGTTAATAACTGAACAAATGAATTATTTCTTGGGTGAGATCATTTAAAATATGACCAATATTTGAACTATGGGTGTGTTTATTTGGCAAATCTGATAAAATACTTCAGCAGTAGGGAAGGATTAAATTATGTTATGCTAAGGGTAATGATAGCTGCCAACAAGCAGACCTTTGATCTACAAATCTTGTAAAAGCTAATAGGTATGTTAACCATCCTTCACTTAGGCTAAATGGAAGAAGCATTAAGCCCTTTATAAAGTGAGAGAGCTTCTTACTCCTGGGAGCATTCTGCACCAAAAAAATTAAAAATTCTGTGCACAATATTATAAAATTCTGCAAATTTAATTTGTCAAAATAACACTGTATAATCACACTAGTTTCAATTATTTTGATAATTTATTTCAAAATACCTATAGCAAATATGTCTGTAACAATACAGATTCACACAAAACATTTTCCCTAGGAGCAGAGAATAAAAAAAAAACCTTGTATGACAACCCAGTTCCTGTTTCTCTCCCTACACCTCCTAGAGCCCAGCTGGGGGCCAGATACCCACAACTCCTCCCTCCCAGAGCCCATCTGGTCCCCCTGTTCAATATAACCAACCCTCTCCTCCCCATAACCCAACTACGAGAGCCCTCCCAGCCCTGATAGCTGCATCTCCCTGCCACCCTGAGCCCAGTTGCACGTCTGTCCCTTGCCCAGACGCCCAGCCTGCTCTACTCCCCCAAATCCCAGGGATCCAGAGGGAGAAACAGCCTGAT